TTTTTTTTTTTCCTTAGTTAATATGTTATTACTGGTGCCTATGGTAAGATAATGTAATGTCCAAACTGGCTTCTTGTGGTGGAAGTTAATGCAAAGTCCAGATATGGTTGGCCAATCCCATGGGAATTTTATTACATTTGCAAGCAGTTTCTTTTCCAGTACTCTACTGACAGAACAGAATTGTTGCGGCTATAAATAGTTAATCTAATTCTAATCCATTTATTGTGCCAGATACATTTTGTGATAGTTGAATGAAGTTAGATTAATGGCGTCACTGGTTTTGCTGCTTAGAGCCATTTTTGGAGTGCGGCAAGAAGTGTTGATCGAAAGCGATGGAGCACAAACGCATCAGCAAGAGCATAAAAAGAATGAAAGCTTGAGAGCAGCCATGGCTACAGAGTGTGGCAATCGTTTTGAGAGAGATAAATGGATTTTGGACAATGTACAAGTTGGATATCAGCCCTGGCTCTGGGAATTTTCATTCCTAGCCTTCGATCGTCGGTTTAATTGAGGGAGTCCACCTTCAGATGATACCACTGATGAGGGTTTTGCGCTCTTATGTTCGTGGCCTTCTGGTTCTTGTGTTATCTACTTTTTTCTCGAAATAATCTTTCATTTTCTAAGATAATGTTATCAAGAAGCTTAAACAATAGGTCTAAACCCAAAAAATAATGCTTCGCTATATGGTTATGTATGTAATATGATATTTCGGATGGTGACAAAATCATACCGATACAATCAAAGCCAAAATACATCACTCAACGTCTCAACCTATTTGATCGTTTTCACTAAAAGTATGTCTCAGTTTATTTGTAAAATTTAAACCCATGATGTTGTCTATTTAGCTAAAGCCAACACAAAAGTATGATTCGGTAGTGCTGACCAATGGGCTATACCTTGACAAGTTTATCCTTCACCCATTAGAACATCATGCGAAATCATAAGTTTTCTCCGACCATGTCTCAACCTCTAGTGGTACTGTTATGTCCACAGATCAAGGGGTCAATAATCATCATCAACCAAGGTAAAATTAATGATTTTGCACATTTTATTCAGTATTACAGAGAATTTCAAAGATCAGTGTTCAACAATTTCACACTCGTCTTGGGAGGTCATGCTCCATCTTTCTTACACCTCCACGGCGTATCCAAACTACAAAGTTATTGAACACCATTGGGAATCGTGCCAGCCAATCAATTCCTATAAATGGCACTTGCTAATGCCTTGATTATTCCCCATCCAGACAACTGAACTTAATGATGACGGATTTCATTAACCCACAAAAACGAGCCAAGCAGATAACTGCAGCGAAATTCACAACCCAAAGAAAAACAAAGGTACCTGGAAAAACCACCTATCATGTTCACTCAGCATTAATATGTACTTACCGATCGATTCATAAAGCTACTCAGTAGAACCAAGGTAGCACCATCTGTTCAATCTCAGCTACAATGCCCTTTGGCCCCTTGCTACAGGTTGTTGGAATTGATAGTGCTGGCTAACGGTGAGAGCACAGATCTACCAAATTGTTAACCTATGCTAATAGGGGCTTAAAGTGATTATCCCTAATACTTGAGGAATGAGCCGTTTCCATGCAATTCTTGCAATGGTAATAACTTGGGGAAAAGCACAAAACAAACTGACAAAAGAACTTACATAGAAAACTACCTAAACAAGCACAAGCTTCACTAATGGTCATCCCCCCTAAACAAGCTTCACTTATACTGTCGGTAAGTCGTGTAAGCAAAACGCACTCATACTGACTGCTACTCTTGATTTTCTAAATCCTCAGGGCACAAGTGCATTCTTTAAGTCTGTAATCTCCCTACTGAAACCATTTCTAAATACATGGATCAAACTTGCACTGCATCATGGTATCAATCCTTCACAACAGCACTACCAATATCCAGAACCTCAACCGATAATCTCAGCCAATATAACCAAAACAAGAAATTCAAGATCATAATCCAATGTGGTCAAGCCAGAATGTCACTTGAGCTAAAACCAATTTTCCAATTCAACAGAGAAGACACTCTCTATAAATGGATTTACTTTTCATGGACTAAAAGAGATTGTTATATCAATAGTTCGTCCCAATAACACTAACATCCAATAAAAACAGACTCAAATCAAGAAACCCAAGAACATAATCATCAATTAACCTTCAAAATTTAGCTGAGTAAAACGAAATTCCATGTCTCAAACGCCATTCAAACAAAGGTTCGAAAATCAAAGTACCTAGAATAGCAACGACAAATGATAGAAAATTATGACACTCAACCAATCTCAATCAGACAACTTGTGGACCTCAATCCCCACCAGCCTTGTTGTAGACGTAGGTGAGGCCACACTTACCGCAGTAGTGCCTGTCGAAATGGTTGGCCATGAAGGTCCCCGCGCCGCACTCGGCGTTGGGACACTCCTTTCTCAGCCTCTGCACCTTGCCGGAGTCATCTACCTTGTAGAACTGGAGAACGGCGAGCTTGACCTTCTTCTTCTTGTGCTTGATCTTCTTGGGCTTGGTGTAGGTCTTCTTCTTGCGCTTCTTGGCGCCTCCCCTGAGGCGGAGGACGAGGTGGAGGGTGGATTCCTTCTGGATGTTGTAGTCGGCGAGGGTGCGGCCGTCCTCGAGCTGCTTCCCGGCGAAGATGAGGCGCTGCTGGTCCGGCGGGATGCCTTCCTTGTCCTGAATCTTGGCCTTCACATTGTCGATGGTGTCCGAGGACTCGACCTCGAGGGTTATGGTCTTGCCGGTGAGAGTCTTTACGAAGATCTGCATCTTCGCGGCTGAAATGGCTGGCTAGGGTTTTGGTGTGAGGGGAAGAAGCTAAGAGAAGCGCTATTTTATATTATGTACCCCCAAAATGGATTGATTGTAGATGGGCTGTTAACTTTGGCTGAAGGCCCATTAGATATTCCATTTTGTTTGGCTAATTTACATTTTTGAAATATTTTGCCAAAATATTAGTCTTTTGAAAAATATTATTGCCTCCTATTCATAATAATTGTTGTTTTGAAAAGTTGCAAGTAATTAAAAATACTTTTTTTGCCCTCAATAACCCTTTTTAATGAACATAGAGATGAGTGTTTTGAAAAAAGATAAGGAGTGAACATGAAAATGCGTAATATATTTATTAACTAAATGAGAATAATAATGGAAAAATATGTTCAAAATATCCAAAACGACATTTATTTTGTTAATAGTTGATATAGTCAA